TGCTTTCTCTTACAACTGGCCACTTCTCCTGGTCGCCATACACGTAATCAGCGAGCACGCGAAATCCACAATTTTCATTCATGACAACATCTAGGTAGCTCTTTATGTAATCTATAATTACGTAGGGAAAATGAGACGCAAATGCATATGCAAAAATATATGTCGGCCTAATCTCTATAATTCAGAATAATTTCACGTGAGAATTTATATAAATAATTTAGTTAACGAAGAACTTCTTGTACGCCCCCGCGGACGACCTCTGTCTCTGTACTCCCATTTCGATGGTCGACGCTTGGTTGAATTGCTTTTTTTATTTTTGTCGACCTCTGTATTTACTTTCATCACAGGTTCTGTAAAAGCTTGTTGGTTAAGGTGAAGCTGAGCATGGATGATGTGATCCAAGTTCCACATCATTGCAATATCGCCTGCATAAACCTCGTCGACAAGGTTCTGAAAAACCTGATGATCTATCGATCCAGGTCACCTATCCTTCTAGACTCTAACGCCTCTAGTGTGATCCAGAAAATGTGGATACTATTGGCAGTAATCGACGCTCTAGAAGTCAGTGCCGCCCTTAGCTGACAGGCACAAAGAAGTCCATGTGTTTGTCTCAGTGCACAACCGCAGAGTGAGTCAACCTCATTGCTCAATTGTCGCATCCACTGAAGCTTATTATTTAATAAATTAAGACAGTGATGCGAGACCCACAGTACCAAGTACATGAATGGGAATCCCGTATACTACACAACCTTCTTACATCTTAAATACCCCAACGTGTACCTAATAATACATTACATAACCTTAGACCCAATGAAATTCATAATTAATGCAGTAATAAAACAGTAAATATGTGTAGTTTAAGAAATGTACCTGACTTGAGTCAGTTGAGGCTCAATATCGTTATCAACCTTCTCCCACACTGTATCGAACGAACTGATCGACGTGTTAAGCCATTTCTTTAACACAACGTATGCACTCTCCACCCTACACGAGGTTGTGTTACCAAATTCGTCCAGGCTTTGACAAACTTTTTCTTGTGGACTAACCAGTTGTGCTCCACATATTGTAACACTTTCTGAAATCTCTTTCACCGACCATGCATTTCAGCTATGGCACTATGGTATTCATCCTTTGTTTCCGCTTCAACAATCTTTTTCCACCTGCCGTGCGTGAAGTTCTGAATGATTTCCCTATATTTTCCAAACAGTCGCTAGGTTCTGCCTTCCACATCCTTGTTGATGTGCCACGTGCAAAGTGAGTGGGCAGATTCTGGAAAATCATCCGAATATATAGTAGCCATTATACCCAACTCTCTGTGAGTGACAATATCTGTAGGATGTACATCAAACATGATCAGATATCTCAACATATGTAGAACCTAGTGATAGTTGGACTCACTATCGTCATTCATAATTGCATATGCAATTAAGAAGTTCTTGTCACATGGCGTAATCCCAATAATTTCCACTAATGACATATTGTACCTGTGCAAATGAAGAGGTAACCAACAAGAAAGGAAACATAGAATAAAAAAACTTACTCAAACATACTAATTAAGATCCATACTAATTTGTTATTTATAAAGCAACATACATGTTGGTTTTGTACGTCGAATCTATACCGATGTACCAGTAATATGTCCGAAATAGGTTGATTGCTTCGGGTTGTGACATGAACAGATGTGTCAACGCATGTGTCTCCTCATAAACATCTGTATAAACTATATATTTACTCTCCAAAGCCAAGTGCAGAATCTCGGTAGCCACATATCTATCCTCGAAACTATCTCTCCGCAATTGATCTCTTTAGTTATACACATGTCGTCGAGTAGCGTTGTCTTTCTGATGTTTTTCCTAGATCGCAAACCAAAATTACTGCTGGTTTTGCATGAGCAGCAGTCATATCACGCACAATATCTTTAGATGAAACGCGAAGTCCGCTCATCTAACGATAACCCTCAGGATATACAGCCAATGCATGACTATGAGTTTCCCTAACAACAGGACTTACACGGATCCCCCGAGATGTAGATCGTGCCATCTGTTGGACTGCTATCCGAAATGGACAATTGCAAACTTTAGTCTTTGAACTTCTGGCACCTCGGTCTCAATCTCCAAAACTGCCTCTGTAATGTTCACCTCGTGCACACCTCAATAACTTCATCATTCCACATTTTTTGTGTGGAAAAATGATCAATTCAAAACCACACTGAATTGCAATTTCTTTTGCCCATCTGATAGCTTCTGCATCACTATCAAATACTTCCTCCATAAACAAAATAGGACTGTAATCAATACCGTCCCCTCCAAAATCTTCGAACGGCACCTACAAAATATTGCGATGTTAATAATTTTACAAGATAATCAATTCTAATTTATAACATAATAATTTCTCAGTTTTAACATAATAATAATAAATTTTATAAGATAATCAATTCTAGTTTATAATTTTTATGTTCTAACATAATAACAATAAATTATAATTTATAACATAATAATTTCTACTAATCTAATATCTTTAATAAATAAAAATTAAGTAACAAGTAATAATAATAAAAAAAAAAATTGGCTAGCCGGTGATTGCGGCCGCGCGCGGTGGTGGTCGGTTGTTTGTCCCATTTTTTGTTGCATTTTTCGTTATTGTTTTGCATTTCTTTCTATCCCGTTTTAGGTCTTTTCGTTGGTTTTTAGTTCGTTTTGGAGTTTATTGCGTGTTTTCCTTTATTTTGTGTTTTTCTGTGTTTTTCGGTTGTTTTCCAGTTTTTCGCGCTTTTCTCGTCTTTTGTGATGTGCAGGTCAAGTGCCTCGGTCGATTATAATTTGAAGGAGAAAAATATTTTGGGCAGCTTAATTTTGTAGAGAGATGCATTGGTGTCACACAGGAAAAAAGGGAATCAAATTCCGAGTCCAAATGAGCTCGAACGAACCCGAGAAAAGTCATGCAAGTAGGGACCAGCCCTAGGCGCTATGCCGTGCCACAGCTCACGGCGCCCGTCACGGGCCAATAGAGGGTCATGCCGAGGCGCCACGCCGCAGCACTTGTCACGCCGCGGCAACCTGCTAAATGCCACGCCGCGCGCCAGCTCGCAGCGCCCGCTACGGGGCAACAGAGCAGCTCGTTCTAGCGCCACGCCGAGGAGCATTGTCACGCCGCGGCACCCTTCAGGCTCCGCGCCGCGCCACATCCCGCGACACCCGTTACACCCGATCAGAGAGAGCACCCTTCCCAGCGCCACGCCGCGACACTACACTTCCTCGCACTGCGACAAAGCCCTCACGCCGCAGCACCTATGCTGCTCACGCCGCGCGTCTAGCTCCTTGCGCCGTGGTCTCTCTCGCCCATAATTATGTGTACGGGAAGTCGGTTCAGAATATCTCCTCCCAAAAATGAAAAACCTAGCTTTCCCTCGTACAAAAACTCGTTCTCTTCATAATTTTCATCGTAGAACACAAATTTGATCTTGAATTTCTTCATTGCTTTCGGATTAATCTTGTATTTCAGATTCAACTTTCAATTCCGGTTTAATCGTAAGTTTTTCTATTCATTTAATCCATGAATATGATAGCTGTGATTCTTGAGTTTGATTGTGTTGAATTGAGTATGAGTAGCTAATTCAATTTGCTAGGAAATAAAGGATAATGTTTTGATTTCATTCGTGATTATCGTGCTCGTCGATTGTTCAATTTTTGCGAGTTGATCTTTAATAGGGTTTTCAATTATCGTGCTTGAATGTTGAGAATTATTGGAGGGTAACACTTCAGTTTCCAATTGATTTTCAATTGAATTTGATTCGTTCTCGTGTGATGTTATTCATTCTAATTGATTAGTCGATTAAATACCGTGTAGTCTAATTTAATCGGCTCTTAGAACCGAAAGGGGAGGAGTCGATTGATATAGACTCGTATAAAGTAGGCTTGTTCGCAACTGTATTGCCTATGTATTAAACGACTTGTTAATTTTCCGTTCACGTTTGTTCTCTTATTACGAAATGTTATTGACGATGAATCTCCGAACGAGTAGGTTATTCAAATCATTTAACCGAACGATCACTTGCCCGATAATTGCATATCGAACCAAGATTATTATCCCCGACTCCCTAGTTCCCTTATCCTCGTTGACTTATTGCTTTGCTCTGCGTTCTAAAGTTGCATTTTGAACTCCTTAGTTGTTAGTTAAAATCCAACCCAACCTTTGAATTAGAACGTTTAGGAATTTAATTTCTTCTTTTTGTACTTGAATAATCGTGCATTATAATTCGGTTAACCTTTCTCGAGAGATCGAACCGAGGAACGAATCATTCGATTCGGTACTCGGTATAAAAAACATAATTTGCTACCGACGAGATCGGCCTACCAACGGAGCAGTCGACTGCAGATCGCGACCGACGATGGTCTTGGCTGGCATCGTCGGCTGACCACCACCGCGCGGCCGCAATTGCCGGGCGACCGAGTTTTTTTCGTACCTTGTCTGTTGCTTATTTTTGTCAGAAATCGCCGGAATTCAAAAAATTTATAATTTTTTGAGTCTTTTAGAAAAATGTTAGGGACATAACTATCCAAAGGAGCGACAAATAGTAACACCCTATTTTTATTCCCCAATTTATTTCAATCTTTGAAGACTGGGGTATATGAATGTTTATTCCCCTATTTTATCTTCTGTGCATATACTGATATGCTTATAGGACTAGGAGGCACACAACTTCGAGACCTGTCTCGTAGGCTATGGGGGAGTCCTGATGGTCAACTGTCAACTTTATAATAAAAATACTTTCTTTTTTTTTATCCATTTTTAAATAAATTAAAAATTATTTTTCATCAAAATTTGAAACAGAATTTTGTGAGCATGTTTAAATTTGTAGTAGTAAAATTGTAAGATAATTTAGAATGTTGTATGGTCCTAAATTGTAATACAAACATCGAAAATGATTTTATTATCCGTACCTAAAATAATTATACATATTTGGGGGGGTGTGAGAGAGAGAGAGAGAGAGAGAGAGAGGTGTGAAAGCAGCCACAAGTAGATAGGTGCAACGCAACAATTCGTATAATTGTATCTTTGGTAATAATGATTTGGTGTAGAGAATAAAAGGAGATGAGAAGACTCCCCGTGATCTTTCTTTTTCTTACAAATGAAATTATTAAGCAAGCAAAGGCATAGATAGTATATATATCTGTTTGTTGTGTAGTGAGAGTGAGAGTGAGAGGAAGAGACTATAAAGAAAGGAGAGTGGAATTGGAGGAGTATAGGAAGATGAATAATGGGGTGAGACAGTACGTGAGATCAAAGGTGCCAAGGCTGAGATGGACACCTCATCTTCACAACTGTTTTGTTGAGGCCATTAACACTTTGGGCGGCCATCACAAAGCTACTCCGAAGCTTCTTCTTCAGCTAATGGATGTCAGAGGCCTCACCATTTCTCATGTCAAAAGCCATCTACAGGTACATATATATATGTACCTCTACATCTCTCTTTTAGTTCTTTCTTCACACTACTTAATTATATATTACTCAATTAATATTGTTGTGGAGCAGATGTATAGAAGCATCAAGAGCCAAGCCACCAGACCAGCAGCTGGTATACATTTTTCTCAAATTTAATTATATTTACTATGCATTAATTCCATCTTAATCAACTCCACAATTTCTCATATATCGTAATATGCATGCTATGGCAACATATCTCATTTCCAGTACTTACCACTTCATTTATTATTTCTTTTCTGTTTTTGCGTCCTATCAAATCTCCTATTAATGGCATATGTCCAATGAAACCATGCCTCTCTTTTTATTTTCTAAATTTAACATCCACCACATTATTACTTCATGTTTTTTAAATATATTTATATATATTAACTTCCACCCCGGAATTTAACTTTCCCAAGAAATTATCCACAATGATTGTACTTACAAGGGCTAGCTAATAATCATTCCACAAACAATTTTCTCTTTATACTTCTAAAGTTGATTCTTTCAACTTTTTATGTGGTGCAAATGTGTGACCTTTGGTTAAATCCTTTTTTTGTTTTTCAGATATGTGCATTTCACGACAAAGGAATCAGCAACTTTGTGATGATGATCTTATGTTCATTTCTCCTGCTCCCCCTTCAAAAAGGTAAAAAAAAAAAAAACCATTTTTTAATTTTTCACTTTAATAACACTAGTATTTTGGTGTGTCAAAACTATACAACTGTTTTTAACATAAATAAGAAGAGTATTGCCTGTCACTTCATGAGGCAATTACAATATTATTTGTTTATTTAGAATATTGCAATTTTGATTATATGATGTCTCCCAGTCACATAATATGGCTGTATATAGTTTCACAAATTTCAACAAAGGGTTGTGGAGATAACCAAAAAGGATACGTTTTTGTTTTTTTCTTTTAATCTTGTTTTTATTTATAACAACATTTTAACCAGTGCCAATTAAATGAATGTGAAATAATAAAAATGATAGGGCAAAAAGTGAGAATAATATAGGAAGCAGACAAGGAGGAATATGTGAGGAGTCAGTAACCAATCCGTACAATGATGATGATTACATGCAGCAGAGTATGGGTGAGAGAATATTAATAATAACAAAGGATAATTGCAAAAAAGAAGAAGAAGAAAAAAAGAGGGTTTTGGAAGTGCACATTCAACCAAATCCTCAAGAAATTGAAAACCCTTCTCCTGCCACTGCACTGCCATACTCTGACTTTTTCAAGGTACAATCAATGCCCCCTAACCCCACCTTTTTTTTCTTGTTTATTTATTTTTCAAGTTTCATGTTTTTGGTTGGGTTTAATGTATCTATACATGGATAATTAAATTAAGAATCCAATTTATGGAGGATTACTTTTCAAATCTATATATAGCAATCCATTAAATAAAATTTCATAAATTTTACTTCATAAAGTTTAGCTACGTGTTTCGTTAAGTAAGACAAAGATTGTTATATTTTATATTAATTAAGTAATAATTATATTTTTTATTGTATCATATAATAGTAATTATTATAATTAATAATTATATTTTACACTAAATGATATATGAAAGTTACATAGCATAAAAAATTATTTTGGAAAATTTTTTGTTCAAATGATTTATTCTAAATTAATATTATATTTTTTTTATTAAATGACTGTTTTTTAAATAAATTAATTTGTTTTAATGTCATAGTAAAATCTTTAAAATCATATAAGCAACTGTTATAATAAATATAATATTTTTTAACAAATGAATTGGCTATGATCTCTCAAAGTTACAAATATTTCATTATTTATTACATTTTATGCATTTAATATAGTAATTCTTATGCAATCAAATAGCTATGTACTATTTATTTTAACCAATAAACAAATTTTTAAATATAATATCATTATCTAATTTATAATTTTAATATCATATGCATAAACATAACTTATAATACTCTATGTTTAAAATAATATCATTATCTAACTTATAATTTTAATATTATATATATATATAAATAATTTATAATACTTTACTTATATCTGTGTAAATGTCGAACACTAATTATATATATTTTTAAAGCTACTGTGAATATCTCTATTAATTTGTGGTTTATATGGTAACTTATGAATCGTACACACTCACACTTATATACGAGTGTTTGTTGATTTAATAATAATAAAGGTCATGTGGTCCTATAGCCACACAGATAGGATATAAATAACCAGTTTATATTGTCTAACAGTGAGTGTAACTAAGTCTCAAAACCGAAACGGTTAATATGAGTGTTGAGCGGCTGTTAAAACCAACGTGACTGTTTGTTATACATAATAATAACATTAAATGCTTTGAAATGTGATATCCACAAATAATGAATATTGGTTTGAAGTGTAATGTTATTAAAATGATGACTTGATTTAGACCCAGGAATAACAAATTAATTTTGTTAAACCTTAATTACATCTCTTAATTAATTAGATCACCTAAAAGCTCTAGGGTATTTTTTGGTAATTATCACTTGGCATTTATATGAGCTGTGGCAGATAGGTCCACAGATACGTACCTACTCAGAGCATTGTCAACAGGTTGGGGTACAAAGATGTTATTTGTTCTGACGTCTAATCTCCATTGACTGATTTTTTTCAAGCCTACTTCCTAATTCCTACATACAATTTGCGAAGAAGAAAAATTTAAGGTGTGCTGATTAGGATTTTTTTATGTTTTTGACAAAACGATTGACAAAAATGGCACGAAGTCCAAAACACTGTAGCTGGTACATGTTGAGATGGTCAATGAAAATATATAAATCTCACCTTTCTTTTCATCACAGTTGTGGAGAATTAATTCCACAAGCCGTAGCTAGATTCTTTAGATTTTGTTTTCAAAAATGTTTAAATTTTAATTGCCTCATTTTTGAATCCTAATAAATTGTGTTGAGGAATTTATATCCCTTACCATCATAAATTATTTATATTACACTTATACACCCAATTTAACTTTATTTATAAAATAACTAAATCAACCACAAAATATTACAAATATACCTAATATCCAATTCAACGGTTTTTAAGATATTAAATGTGATTGGGTCATTAATTAGTAAGATATATTATTACCAAATATCAAAGATATTATCTCTCCTGCAAAACCGCGCACGATCTCCATCTCTATGCAAAAAGCTTTCATCCCTTTCCCCAATTTTCTCAAGGGCGACTGCAAAACTCGCCATCTCTACTAGAAAAAAAAAAAAAGAACAAACGGTGGGCGACGGCGGTTATGGGTTGTCGATAGAGTGCTTGTTCAGGCCACAGAAGAAGTCCACGCAGTATCACATGAAGACACGCCCGCGAAGCACCCAACCCTCGAACATCAAGGAGAATCGAACGATAAAGGAGATTAACGGGCAAGTGAAAAAATAGGTCGAGAAAGCAGACTTTTTGGGGGAAGTGGAGAATCGGACGATCCGCAAGGAAGTAGCGACCTTGGCCTTGTGCGGTGAGAAAATCGGCTAAGAGATGGCGCCGAAGATGGTGGCTAACATTTCCATTTCCGATTGATTACGTGCGTATAGCTGGGAATGGTTTTTTCCGATTTTAATGACTATAGAATCTGATGACTTGTTCTCAAATTTCGTTGTCGCCGTTGATTTTTCTTTCTATTTTCTCAAATATACTGTTAATAAACTAGAAATATATTGTTAATAAAAATGTGAAAGATATACTGTTAATAAATCGTGAAAGATATTTTTTTAAACTAGAAATATATTGTTAAAATTTAACGTCCCCAGCATATCTTTTTTGCAGTATATTTTTTTCGGTATATTTCCAGTAAAATTTAACGTCCTCAGTTTTATCTGTTAATAAAACGTGAAAGATATCTTTTTTTTCCGGTATATTTCCAGTAAAATTTAACGTCCTCAGTTTTATCTTCCGGTAAAATTTCCAGTATATAACGTCCTCAGCATATCTTCTGGTATATTTCCAGTAAAATTTAACGTCCTCGGTTTATCTGTTAATAAAACGTGAAAGATATCTTTTTCTGGTATATTTCCAGTATATTTCCGGTAAAATTTAACGTCCTCAGCATATGCAAAATTTTGTTGAAAAACTTCACGTCCTCAATCGTTTTTTTGCAGTATATTTTTTGGTCAATTGTTCTGTGGTGTGAAGAAGAGTATAGTGCACATTCAAATTTTATTTTTATCTTTTTTTTTTTGACGTCTGGATGAAAAATCTCATCGTTTTTGTCAGTATATTTTCCCGTACTGCTTACTGATGATGAGAAAGCTTCAAACTTAGATTTCCTATATTTTCATATGAAACGCAAAAATTGTTATACTCATTATTTTAATTCCATATTCTTTAAACCATTTCTTTTCTTTTGGAAACTTACCAAAAATCATGGGAGAGAAAATTGGATGGGGTCCAACTTCTATGTCAATAAATTTTAAGCATTTATGTAGTTGATTTTAACAATTAGGTAGAGTCGCAATATCTTTGCTATGGATGGTATTTTTGCAATTTTTTGTATTTCACGCAGGAGGGATGAAAATTTTCCAATTGTGTTTAGGTAGTAGTTAATTTTAAATGCAAATGCCTATTTAGAAATATAAAAACTATCCGATGTATTATTATTATTAAGTTGTTAACTTTTTGTTTTACATATTGATATTGAAATGTATGTAAATTCGAGTTGACAACAATTTTTGTGGCAGGAGATAAAAAATCTTGGGCTGGACTCAGTCAATGAGAAGGAAGTTGATGGTTGTCAGCTGTCTCTATCTCTGTCTTTGGCATTGCAAAATTATCCTTCCTCCCAAAAAACTAATGTGTCCAACAGTGAGATTAGCGAGACAGTTTCTTCTTCAAATTCCAAGTCTAATTTTTCTGAGGAATTAGTTGAGCTTAATTTAGACTTGTCTATTGCCCCATGTGGCACATGACTTTTCTTAATCAGAGATTAAAATAGAAAAGGGCCAAAAGGCTCATCCATTGTGCCACTATTCCTTTAAGAATTTCATTTTGTCTCTGCTTCTGGATTTCCTCTCCATGTTTACTGTGTTTACAAAGACCCAAAATGCAGAATAGTCCAAACAACATAACTTGAATTATGAATTATGTCATTAAAATTACACATTTTGGAGGATATCTAACTAACAGACGTTCAATCCTCCTAAAAATATAGGAAAAAGGGAATATACATATTGACAATTTGGGGAACGGCTATTCGGTCAGGTCCCCAACCTCTTGGTACCACATTCTGAGCAGAATTTTGAAGTTTCCCTAAGGTAAGGAACACCACATTCATCACAGAACTTTGCAGGACTCATTGGCTGGATAAAAGAAAAAGAAAAAGAAAATAAACGAGAAATGTAAATATAAAACACAATGGATATACTTGCTTTAAATAAATTAACCTCAGTATAAAGACCGAACCAAGAACACTACCCCCACTTAAGAGATGGGCATGGGTCATGATCGGAACAATTTAGGAAATTCAAGTTGATTTTGATATGCTTTTGAAGTGATTGTCCATTCAAATTTTCCTTGCGTTAATGAATCAAGTTTTCCAAGTGGGAATAGGAGGTTAAAAGTTAAGAAATTAATTGTAATAGGGAACTGAGAAAATAACGAGGGTCCAAGGCAAAGAATAGCCCAATTTAACTACCCCCAAGAAAAATAGCCCCAGGTATGCGGTGTAATTGCAGTCAATCTTGGAATATTTGGATTGTAATTTTATTATAGATGACATAAGGAGAAGATGATACATTATGCAGTGACAAGATGACAAGTTTTGATACCCCTAGAAGAACTAATGCACTTCATTATGCAGTACCTAAAATGCAAAATCATACAGATATTATATATATATATATAGGATGTGGTTCAAATGAGAACCAAGTTCTAATGTGAGAACCGTGAAAACCGCTATTTTTGATTGTATGAAGTGCTATGATTGAGTATGTTTTAGTGCTATTTTTAACCAGGATATATTTTGTTAAAAATAGCAACACAATTGATATTATCATTTGTAAAAATGATAGCATCATACAATACACAGTTAAAAATAGCATCAAATATAGTTCTCACGGTTCTCACACCAGGGCTGGTTTTTATTTGAACCAACCCCTATATATATATATATATGTATATATATATAGTGTAATGAGGAGAAACACAAAATATTATGCTCACCGTAACATGAAGACGACCCCCAACATGACCAAGAGACTGTAAACAGGCAATATGGTGGTGTGAGATGGATGCTGGCTGCTGGCTGTGAGGAATTTCGGGCAGCTGAGGTGGTTGCATGAATTGGGGACTTTGGTGATGCAAAGGATGGAATTGAGACTGATGCCCCAGTGTCTGCATATGTTGTTTAAAAGGCATCTCTCAAATTCAAATCATGGTGTACTTCAAAAATAACCACTTAGTTTTCAAAGTTCACAACAATAACTGATCTGATTTTTTTATTTTTTTTTATTTACAAATGTAAAAGAGGACAAATGCAAAACAGAATAAAAATTAGATCAGACCGCAGAGGTGTATTGTGTAATGAAACCCATACCAAAATGAAATTAATCCAGTACACCCCAAAAGAACAGAGCACATGCAACAAAACTCTATTCAATTACTAAAGAAAAAAAGTTAGACAGTGATAAAAAAAATAAGGAAAAGAAAGAAAGAAAGAAATATCTTACTTCATTTGGTGGGTGATAGCCTTGAGAAGTTGCCATAGAAGAAGAATTTTCAGGACTAGAGAATGCCTGATAAAATATCCCACGATCCTTTAAAGGCGAGTTTGAGTACTGGCATTGAAGTTTTTTTTTTTTTTNTCAAGAGAAAAAAAAAAGAACTCATTTTCACTTACAGGCAGACCGGGCATGTTTGAGATGGAGTTTGACACGACACGCCTATACTTGTGTCTTGGAGCATAGAACTTGTAGTCTCTAGCAGAAACAGCAACTTCATTTCGTCCGGTTAATCTTTTGAACCTGAAGATAGTATATTATATGGATTACGATCAAGTCACACAACTTAATTTACATGTGTGTTACTGCATCAGTTAAAAGCTTTGCCATTGAGACATTACGATATCAACAGAACTAATGCAAAGTGAAATCATTTCATAGTGCCAAATTTACATCATAAACATACTTGTTAAAAACAATGGCCACATCAACTTGCCAACATAGATGAGATCGATGTGAATGTGTGTTCTAGGTATGAAGCTTTATCATGTTATAGTATAGGAAGGTAAGAATACATATATTAAGTCAGTTTTAGACTATACAGTCCCGTTTTACCTTTACTTTCACTTCTTGGGATGCAATACATTTTGGGGACCAAGAAATTTGTTTTCAGACAGGATCCAGGAGATCATTGGTTGGATTCAGAAAATTTACCACCCTAATTTTTGGAAGATGAAAAATCCAATTCAATAACATACATGCACAGATAAACTACTCTAGCATTTGCCTTGCTTCCTGGTGGCAAAATTAGAGTTGCAAACGAATAGAGTGCTCAAGTCAAAGCTTGACCCGAGCTAGATGTTGGCCGAGCTTAAGTCAAGCTCTCCTTGAGCTCAAGCACCTAGAACCAGAACTCGAGCTATAGACTCGAGTGTTCAACGAGTTGCTCGAGTATAAGTGTATTTAATTTAAATAACCTTAACTCAAGCTAAATTCGAGCTAGTTTTGAACCAAAATTTGAGAAAAAAAAAACTTATCTAAATAGACAATTATTCTTTTAAATTTGGAGCCGGACTACATCAAAATTTAAGGCGATCTCAAGCATCTGAATATTTTTTCGAGTCGAGCCTAGCAGAGCCTTAAAAATCTTGGCTTTTCGAGCTCGAGCAGCAGTGAAAAAATTCAAGCCCAGCTTGACAAGGCAAGGCAAGACAAGGCTTGGCTCGGTTGCAGCCCTAGGCAGAATTCTTTGACCACACGTACACAGGACGATAATATGGACATTGCAAGCTGCAATGTTGAAAATATCAACATTTCACTAACCAGGCCTTCAATTTACATTTTTCTTTGCCAGGGTTCTATTCTCATTCTATGGACCAGTTCATGAATACTATTTAATCACGACACTAATTACATATATATATTATAAAATTACATGAAATTGCAAAGTGTTAGCAAATGACCTCCAACCCAATTATTTCCAATAACATATTCTCACGATAAAGTTGATTTACTTCAATAAAATCTACGAAACCCACTTCATACAGTTAATTTTAAAGACCACTTATGCTGCCTACGTCTTCCAAGCTAAATCAAACAAACCTAAAACTTGAAGCACTCAAGGNGAAAAAAAAAAAAAAAAAGCTTGAAGCATCTTTACCTAAAATTCTATTCTAGTTAAAGCATGCGACACATTTGACTTCATAACTTCAGCAGAGTAAATCTTATGAGCTCTAGAAAGAATTAAAGAAGTCAATGAAATAGAAAATACAAAGTTATCTCAAATCATGTGGCGAAAAATTGAAATCAACAATGTGGTAATTACAAATTAATGCCAAGCTTAACGTACCACTCAGCATCATCCATATCCATCTTTGTTGGTTTTTCAATGATAACCAAGCCATTTACCACCACAAAACGAACACGCTTTTCCTCTTGTATTACTAACTCAGGAAACTTTGATCTTGTTTCAAAAGAAGTCGCTAACTCCCGTCTTTTAAACACACAAGAACCTATAAGCAGAATATGACCACAAGATATTAAAAAGAATACCAATAGAATATTTTTATTTTCACAATAAGGGCCAATCTCATATTTATTTACTAAAGCTAATATCATAGGTCCCCTGTTTGTTTCAGCCAGCACGATAGTTCCACAATTGAGTAATAAATATTTTATAGTAAATAAAGAACTAATGAACTATACAACAATAAATGTGCAAAAAAAGATATCGATATATTCATCAAACATATATGTATTCTAAGGACGGGTAATGGACTTCAGAGAAGCCAATGTAGTAAAAGAAAAATGATACATTTTCTTGGAAATACTCAAATAAGTAAAAGAAAAATGATACCTTTTCTTGGAAATTTCTTCGCGAGCTTTCTATACAATCCACCAGCGGCTTCAAGGGCCACGCCAATTGTCTTTTCACGCATACCACCCATTGATGATAATCTCATGTTAACTTCATTGACCAAGGTTTCGTACATATTAGCAACATACATTAAGGGTAAAGCATAGCGGGCATCGCCTTCATATCTGATCTCCCGGGACTTCCTCTTGTTTGAGTGGTCTTGGGAGGATTGTTGTGCCATGTAATCAGCATCGTAATCCGACATTTCAATCACATGAGTATCAATAAAATGATCTACAATGATGTCCAGGAACCTTGCTCTAGCTGTTTCTATTGGCGAGACATCTGCGAAGGGGTATGGAACTCAATTCCGTATTAAGCGATCTTAAACAGCAGAAACTCAATAAAAAATAATTATGTGGAACTGAAGGAAAACGTCACCATCAATCGTCAAAAGGGGGTATGGTCCAGTTGAGGATCCATTGTTTTCAAGACTCCCCCTATCATCCTCTATACCAATGCTGTGAAGTGGTAAGGAGCTCTGGTACGGCTCGTGCATGCAATCCTACAAGATATAAAACATGNAAAAAAAAAAACAAAAACATGAACCGAATAGTAAATAATTTAGTTCACAAGTACTCTGCGGATTAATTCGATAAAATAGGATAAGCAATCATTTTCTATTACGATTGTGCATACGAATCCAAGATAGCCAAACTTTTCTGCATAACAAGGAGGAACTCTAAGAATGTAATTTCTTCAGCTACCAAAGAGGGGAATAAAGAAAGGAAAGAACGCAGACGTTGCAGAAGACTGATATTTGATCTTAGTATAACTTTAATCACATATGAACTAGATGATCTTATGTGGGTGAATGGACATTAGGTAACAACAGAACAGATGCCAACTACCAAGAATAACAGCAAACAACTGATATTCATAACATTATTAACATAACAAGGTCAAGGAGAAAATTCAACTCTGTAAACGGTTTAACTCTGAACACAAAATCCACAAACCTAATGCTGAGCTCAATATTTCAGGGAGCTACATTTCGCGGATGCAATTAAAGGTTAAAGTTTATTTAGGAAATCACAAATAAGAAAAGAAAAGTAAACAAGTATTGCAAATGCAAATTACTCCGAACAAAATACAATAGAAGCAGTAATATATAAAAGTCCTGAAACTGTATCAACATCGTCAAGTGATTTCATACTAACACTGACTACAGCAGATGAACGGTCGTTGTCATCGGTGACGTCCTCCGCGGCGGGGTCATTGACGTCGTCGTTCAGGGAGGTCTCGATGTATGAATTGGCGGCGGCGGCGGAGGTCAAATTGTAGTGCTCCAGCGGGACAGTGCTCCCCATGGACAGCAGCTGATTACCCTAACAATTTACAGTTTGAAGGGCGAAGGTTGTAACGGCTAACACATACTGCTAATGCGAGCGAGTTTGTGGGAGAGAGAGAGGAGAGGTTTGGGGTTTCCGAATCGCAGTCCGAGCCTGCCACCGATGAGGTATATCAAACCGGCGTAGCCTNAAATTACTATTTTCATATCAAATAAACTAGTAGTCACCCGTGCGATGCACGGGAATATTATTATCTAGATTGTTTTTAAAAAATAATTTTGTATATAAATTGTATTATGCAGGCAATAAGCATATCATTAAACTGAAAAAATTATATATTATTGAACACTTTTCTATATACAACATTATTGGTTTGATTCTTTGGCACATCATCTTCGCCACAAATTAAGATTTTCAAACCTTTTCGTTTAGTGACACGGGAAACAACAACATATAACTGGCCATGACTGAACACTGGTTTTTTAAGAAATAAGCCAACATGAGATAAGAATTGTCCCTGGCTCTTGTTTATAGTCATGGCGTAAGAAACCATAATGGGAAACTGTCGCCGCTGGAACTTGAAAGGAATTCTAACATCAGAAGGAGTTATGGTCATTCTTGGAATCAACACCTTATCACCAGCATGATCTCCTGTGAGTATCTTACACTCAAGAACGTGAGTTGATAGCTTTGTCACTACCAATCGTGTCCCATTATACAAACCCATAGAATGATCCATGTTCCGCAACAACATGACTGGAGTTCCAATCTTCAAATACAACTCATGGTTCGGTATTCCGGAACACTTGAGACTATTCAAAAACTCAGGCGTATGGAGATCAGACAAAAAATTATTATTAGAATTCGATTTGCACGTACTGTCAGAGCTCAAGTACATACGACCATCCAACAAATTCAATGATGTCATGTACTGATTGATAGACTCGACCACATCCAACGTAGGCGCTAATATAGCCCTATCCTTCAAATAACTTGGATCGTCGGGTGCCTCTATATACATTGGACATGTGCTTTCAACTATCTGAGCAATAGGATCATCAGATGGCTGAAGCAAAATGTCCTCGGGTATGTCTGTAGGTGCACATCCATCATTCAACCCTCTGATAGTTTCATCTCCGATGTTGGCTATCCAATCTGCAAACCGTGCAAGCTCATCACATTCATCCGAATTAGCAAGTCCCTGAAGGCGCATTTTTTTGTAAGCCTAAGCACAGTACAACTCCTCCATATGTCAGAAGAATTAATGGCAGCATTGACTATGTCCTGACGGCTACCCTTTAGAATGACTGGAAGGATTTGTCGAAAATCTCCACCAAAAACAATCGGCTTCCCACCCTGCAGCGATGTCTGTACAACTTCGAAACAATGCTTGTGCATCATTGGTTCTTCATCCTATATTATTAGAGGAGCACGAATTATCAATTCCACTAGAGGGCTTGACTGATATATGTTGCAAGTAGATTCCTAGTGGGGATTCAATGGTATAGCAAATCGAGAACGCACTGTTCGTCCACCCAGCAACAAAAGTTCCGTTGGATGTGACACATAAGACTACGTCACCTTTGGATCTCAAACCAGCAGATAAAGTCCTCCACATGTACGTCTTCCCAGTTCTACCATAACCATATACAAAAAAGAGCCCTCCTTGGCCGGATTCAATAGCGGACATAATTGTTGAGTACACACTCCTCTGTTCGGCTGTCATTTTTTTAAGGAGCATATCGTATTCAACAGCGAGGGCCTTTCGAACATAATTCAATTCATCCAAAATTAGACGATTAGAACTTGAATTGATGTTCTCCCTATCCGGAAATGGCATAGTTTCATATTCACGAAGGCTTGACCCATGTCATCTCAATAAATTCTCAATCTCAGCAAGGGTCAGGTTCTTGATTTGTTCTTCAGTGAGCACCAAACCTATAAACCAATTATTTATGAGTAGGAATAAAAAAAATATTAACACGATTAGAACATTGTATATAAAGATAAAAATCAGATTATGATTAAACATATTATAAAAAGTAATTGATTACCATCATCCGACCTTCCAAATGAACCGGACACCAACAAAGATGCAAACATGCGTCTAAGGGAGTCTGCAGAAGCCCATTAACTTGCTTCTGTAATGCCGTCTATATACTCCCGATCGTCCTACAACAAACCGCGCTCGTAGCAAGCATCACGATACGTTAGATGCTGGACTTCACCGACTTTCATATAGTCCTCATGACATGTTGCCCCACGCACAACAGTAAGCAATAATCTCAAGTAGTAATTATTTTCACTGCCGGGAGGTACGTATCGTAAACGGCCTACAGAGGGTTGGTCCTCATCTTTTCGAGGTGTCCATTGCCTGATTGTTGTATTCCACACAAATTTTGATGGTGCCTCAACATACGTTAGTTCCCTTGCCTTAGGATATATTTTGTTTGCCTCGAACCACGCAAGAAATTGACTTTCATCAACTGTAAGTTTATTTATAACATTTTCAACATCATCATCTTCGTCAAATTAAAGGTTCTATTCTCCAAATAAGTGGAAGTTCAAACGCTGGACGGGAGGTTTTTTGTACTGCAACTCCAAACCCAACAACCGCCATGCCGCCTCACACGAAGATATGTACCGACAATCGTAATACATTTTTATCTCATCCAACGGTCTTTCAATATCCCCTTCTGCAGACGTTTGATAGAATGATGCAGTCACACGATCATTACCCTTGTTGACATATTTGAATAGATATTTTATAGATCGTGATTGATTGCACCACTAAGCATTAATATGCGCTCCAAACTTCATAAGCAGACGACGATTATGAGGCACGACATATCCATTGTGAACAACAATTCCATTCTTTTCAAGAGATGTTCCATTGTCACGACCTCTATACCGTGGATAACCATCTTCGTCAACAGTTGTGGACTCAACAAACTTCTTTGGAAATTTTTTAGTACATTTGCCATCCACCATACAGGGCGAATTTTTGTTTACCAGACCACACGGTCCATGGATCATATGCTCCTTTACTGCCTCGTAATATAGAGGATCAGACGATTGATCTGGTATCTCTGCAGAGATGATTCTATCTATGTCCGATGAGTCAGGAAATTTGGCCTCCTTAGCAAGGAAGAGCAGTATATGAGCGTGAGGTAAACCACGTTTTTGAAACTCGATCGTGTATATAACTGCAATATAAAATTGTAGTTAATATTATTATTCAAAATAGATAAGTGTTAAATGTATTTTTTTTGTAAATGATTAATAAATATGTTGTCACCATTATATACATTATCAAATGGCTCACCTACTATAACCTTCCCAAATATTTCCTTTTGACAAAAATCCCTAACCAATTCCTTAAGTTTTGCTCGAAAGACCCTACAGACGATATCTGGTCGATCCTCAGGTCTCAAATTTTTCGGCTCGAGATAACGCAATATTTCTGGCCATTTGGGGTTAAATTTATAAATATTAATTAAAATATTTTTTTTTTTTTGATATTACAAATAAAAATATTTACCTGTTCATCATGAAACAGTATATGGAATGCGTTCCAGCTCTCCTGTTGGTGATGCGTTTCAACTATTAGGACTGCTTTCAAGTGCAAAAAAGGCTTGTTTCTCCTACTCACGGAATTGAGTGTATCCCAGACTGACGGCATTTATTATCAATGTGTTCTGAAATTTAACTCTTTTTTTTCTCTGTAAAATTTATCTCGATTTTTTTTTCTCTGAACTGTGAATGACGTGAATTTTTTTTTTTTCTCTAAACTGTGAATGACATGAATTATTGAGTAGTGGTAGTGCATATTATTTTATACCAAACAACTGTTTTTGAACTCAAGATTCACATTATTATGTAATGATAATTATGGATCCAATTGTGACTTACCCACATATCCCAATAATATAAAATTGTGACTTATCCACATATCCCAATAATATCTCTAATCAATTAATTTTTGAATTAATCATGTAATGATAATTATGGATTGGTATCATTAGGATCTGGACAAAACGGTTCGGGACCGGGACAAACTGGGATAAAATATAAACTAAACCAAGAGTGTTTGATTTTATTAAAGTTTAAAACAAACAACCAACATATTGTTTCCAAGATTAGAACAAGCACCGATTGTGTTTCTACCTTACTGGATTTTGTACGATTCTCTCGTCGGAGAGCGTTTCCCATTCTCTCGTGGAGAGCGTCTCTCAGTTTAAGATTGTGTGCAATGTGTTTCTCCGATCAATCTTTGTTTAGCAGATTGCACTCTTGTCGCTTCTTTCTCATTTCATATTTCCCTCAGTATAATAACTCAACTGGTGATTATCTAGGGTTTTTTCGATGGGATCCCCAAACTGCATAGGGCAGGATGACGAGCTCTCACAGTGACTCCAAGGGTTCTCACTATCGAAAAAAGGAACATAAATTCATTGATATAGCCACATAAGATATCAAGAATAGCGACGCAGAATGCCAGCGTAGCTTATTTGGTGAGATAATCGGAGATAGGAAAGCCTCTTGGTTTGGCCTGAAAAGGGTGATGAGTAGCATTTGGAAATTGAAAGAACCAATGGAGGTGAAGGAATTGGGACATAATTATTTCCAATTCATATTCCAGAGCAAGAAAGACTTAGAAAGGGTAGCAAAAGGCCTCAATTGGACGTTTGACAATCAATATATGATCTTGTCGTCATGGCAAGAAGTTATGTCCATTAATCACCCTGTGTTCCAGGAGCGTCAATTATGGGTACAGGTCTATAATGTACCTCTAAATTGGCTAAGCACGGATGTTGGGTTGAAGATAGAAAATGTCTTTAAACAAGTGAAAAATGTGGTCATAGTTGGGGCAGGAAGCCATGGGGGCAGAATCATGCGCCTTCTAGTAGCTGTGGACTTAAATGAAGCATTACCTAGATGCACTCATGTAAGATTGAGCAATCAAGCAGTGAGTGTTAGTTTTAAGTATGAGAAACTTAGGAATCATTGCCACTACTGCGGGTTCATCGGTCATCTAGACCGCAGCTGTCCCAAAAGGCTGGAAGATATAAGCACTAATTCAGTGAAAGAGAGGGAGTATGGTGATTGGATGAGAGCTACAGAAAACCATCATTGGACAGGGTTGAATAATACAGGGACTCAGAGCTCCTCACCATCAAATGTGCGAT